TTAGACCAATAATGTTAAAGTTAAGAAGATTATGAAATCTGGGTACCGTTAAAAACACCGGTAAATACTACAGTGCAATTAAATCACTGTTAGTGGATCTGTGATCTACTAATCAAAATTTTAAGTTATGAACATCATAATTAGACAAAATTAATGTTAAGTACTTAAAGTTAGAGTCTTGGGAGTTTCCGGGTAAAAAATTTGACGACGGTTCAGATAAAAATTATACCAGATTCCACTAATAGACAAAGTGCCACTAAAGTGACATGGCACCCCTAATTAGGGCACCTTCCCCCCATTTTCCTGATCAGATTGCAGCACCCCATTTCTCCTTCTCTCTCTAAATCTCAAACTTCAAACCTTGCTCTCACTTTTCTCTAAGATTTCTCCACCAAAACCCCTCCAAATCACTAAACCACCTTCACCATACTTGCTCCCCTCACTCTCCTCTTCACAACCATACCATTTTTATGATGTGAATCCAAAATTTTGTGCTCCTCCTCCACACATACAGCCACAGTTTTGAGCTTTAGGGAGGCCATGGAGTTGTGTTCTTGAGTTCTCTTGAAGAACAATTCATCCTTGCTTGGTTCCTTTGATTTCTAGTGTAAGTGTTCTTAATTTTGTTTTGAAAAATCTCATCTTTTTCTCTTGTGTTCATGAGCTCTAACTCTTGAGCATGTTCTTGAAGGTGTGTTCTTGTTTAAAGGAGCATTCTTGGTGGTAAAAGGTGGAGCTTGGAGCTAAAAGTGTGAACTTGGAGATGTAAGCTTCACCTTGGGAAAAGATGACCGAAAAGCCTTCCTTTATTCCTTTTTATGCCTCAGTTTTGTATGTGGGTGGGGAGAATAATGTTGAAAAATTTGTAAAGTTGATGTTTTGATGATTGTTCTTAAGGGTGTGTGAGTTTTGAACCAAGAAATGGTTAGTTGGATGAGTAAATGTGCAACCTTTGAATCCTTGTGAGGATTTCGTGAAAAAGAATGAACTTGAACCCTAAAAATGTCACATGAAGGTTCGGCTATGTCCATGGAGGCTAGGGTTTGATGACTAAAAATTTATACGAAGTTTTTAAGAGTGGAAAAATCCTAAGAGGAACTAAGCAAGATTAACTAAGTAGATTATCTCTAAGTGAAATCTACTAATCTTGATTAAGGAGGACTTAAAACCCTAATAAGCATAACTAATCAAATCTGCCCCCTTTGATATAATATGGATTAGTGGTGTTAAAAATAAGAAAATCATGGATTAGTGGATTAATTAAGCGTAAGTACTAATTAACTAATGAAATGACTAAGAAATAAGCTTAAAAAAATAATTTAAACACCTAAACAATTCAGCCATGTAGGTTTAAATTAGGGTCACTATGTTAAAATTAATATTAAGACCTAATTAGGACATTAATCTAGTGGTTAAGAGAAGTGGACTATGCATAATACACTAATTAATTATTAAACCCTAAAATTAGACTTAATTAGGGTTTAGGTGCACTAATCAAGCAATTAGTGAACTTGAGGTATCATGACATAATGTGACTAAGTGGGATTTAATAATGTGACCTAATAATAGAAAAATCCAAGAATTAAAGTGATTTAGAGTTGATAACCAAAAGTAATTAAGGTTTGATAATTAAACCCACTTAGGGTTAAATGACAAGTTTTTAGGCTAACTTGGGGAGGGAATATCTCCCTCCATAGAGGTCCTATATAGATGTTCCTTATATAATTTTGAAGCTTGAGATGTTAGCTATATGTGTAAAAATTTGAAACCATTTGAATATGTATGACATTCTGTAGGTTCGGTTTAGTGGAGACTGCCCTGGGAGGCCATGTGCAGGGGCTGTACATGGCTGCAACTTACATGAATTGTTTCTCCCCCAGTTATTACTCAAATTAGGATTATAATATGTTTAATTAAAGCTAAGGGTGTCTAGTTATTTTCATAAAATTTTTAGAGCAATTGGTTTCTCATATTTTCCAGAATCGAAAAATTGGTAAGGGATGTTTAGGGCTCTGTTCGGAGTTGGCAGGCAGCTTTGCTTGTCCAACTTCAAATGGTGATAACCGGAGCTAAAAAATTCCAAATGAGACATTTGATACCTTGTTGGAAATTTAATTGAGTCTAGATTAACATAATAAAATATGAGAATTTTATAACAAGTGGGTTGCGCATAGTGACTAGAAAATAAAAGCATGTATAGTTATAGGAAAACCGTAAAAATGATATTTAGGCTAAGTGAGCTTATGGGAACCCCTTAGTAACTTATAATATGTATACATATGGCTTGGATGAGTGAAAAATAATCTAAGTTACTTTAGTGATCCTAGAGTGTGATACTAAGATTATGCAAGGTGCTTAAACTACGTGGATGATTGTGTAATAAGTGAACACTTCATAATACACTAAAATACATAATTATGTAATAATTGGTCTAGACTTGTAATGGGCATATTATTGGCATGTAATAATGAAATGTGGAATCATTAAGTGATTGAGTATTAATGATGTAAATGAATTCTGCTCTAGGTTTGCCTAGAGGACTTGACACTTGAGGGTTTATTGGAGCATACGTATTTTACTGTTGGAGTTGGGCTTATGATAAGCTCAGTGAGGTAATCTCCTAGCTCTATTTGCATCCTCTCTCTTGTGTCCCCACCATGATGGTGGGAATTATGGTGGTTGTATTGTATGAAAGTATGTGGTATAATGTATATGTGCATTCATTCACATTCATATAGATGTTATATGATTCTTGATGTTATAATGATGCACTGATGATATATGTTATGAGAATCCTGGCCAGTGATTATGGTATGTAGGCTGCCTATGACTTGACTCTGGAAGCTATTTCATACAGAGGTTGTGTTGACTGTCTATGACATTATGATTGTATTATATGAAAGTATGTGGTATAATGTATATGTGCATTCATTGACATTCATATAAATGTTATATGATTCTTGATGTTATGATGATGCACTGATGATATATGTTATGAGAATTCTGGCCAGTGATTATGGTATGTAGGCTGTCTATGACTTGACTCTGGGAGCTATTTCATACAGAGGTTGTGTTGACAGTCTATGGCTTGACCCTGATGTGTAACCATCTATGGCTTTGACCTTGGGGTTACACAAGGATGATATGATGATGCTATGTTTATGTTGTATGCCTGTATTATATGTTTTATATCTGACTTGTCATGCATGAAGTGGGCTCAGGGGATTAGAGGATCCTCTATGAACCTTGAGCTTACTGAGATGTGTTATCTCACCCCGTTTGGGGACATCATTTCAGGTATCCAGAGTAGTGGTGATGTTTCTAGGGGCAAGGCCCCCGTCTTGGAGTAGTGGATGACGTTGCTGATTTCTTTTTATTATGATTAGACTTTATGATGGCATGTATATTTGTTAACATGCTTATTTATCGTATGTTGAGACTATGTTATGTAATTATTTAGGCTCATGATTGTATTACTGGAGCCATGGATCATTTACTGATGCTTAGATGTTTTTGAATTCAATATAGACTCGATGTATGTTTTCTGTTAATTGGGCATGGAGTCTTATTGTTCGTATTGACCCGAGAGGGGATCGCAGTCTGTGTGGGACTTGCGAGTTGTCTGTTTAATAATGGTATCTATCAGGTTGTTGTATGTGTGGGACTCATGTTCCCAGTTATCCAAAATACAGCCGTTATGCTGTCCGTGAGACTCCGTCAGGTATGACACTTGATATCATATCCGGATGGTCAACGGCCACTAGTGATGACCAATGGTTTTAATTAATAGACTTAGATTTTAATGTTACACGAATGCAATATATCAGATGAACACTGTGAAAATATTTTAGAAAATATTTTGGTAAAAGTTCACACGTATTTTTATAAGACACTTTATTATTCTTTTAAAATAAAGTCTTCCGCTGTGTATGCTAAATATCAGGTATGTTAACAACTAGAGTACTACGGCGTGTTACATAAATCATGCTTCTTTAATCATGTTGACATTAATTTCTCTTTATGCTTTCTCGGAGTTCATCTCAATAACGCCTTTGACTACATTGGAAGGAAAGTACTGAGCTGGAGCATTTTTGACTTTCATGAAAATGCACTCAAAACTGCGTCTGACTTGTTTTGACATCCGAATCTCCATAAATCATCTTTATGACAGGTTTCAAAAAATCATCCTTGCTAGATCAATTACTCAATTTTATAATGTTAGGTGTTCATTTAGAACATTGTATACTGAATGTTATTTGTCCAACCATCCATTGTCAGAACTACAAATAGATGCTTGATTACAGGGTCGTTCATATAACTTAATACTTGAAACTTGGATGATCTTGGTGAACTATTCACCTGAATTTTCTCATTTGTGATGGTTTTCTAGAGTCAGAGTTTTATGGAAACTCAATTAAATAAAGCAATAAATAGGGTGATATGGTAATATTAAATAGCTTTCACAACAAATCGAATCTCTCAAGTATTGATGCGACAAAGGAAAAAGACAATGAACATTACCTATTTTAAAATATTTGACTTATTATGTTGTGTTCATCTATCCATTGAGAGCTCAAGAACTTTTGTAACAAAACACTTAGTGGTGGCTGAAGAATAAAATTACTCAAAAGTTAAACTACAAGAGAAATATGGAAGAGAAGAACATGTCAAGCCTTTCTGATAAATGATAATTGCCTAAAATAAAATTGAAAGGAAATATTTTTGATAATAGTTGAATTTGTTGGAAACATATTATAGATTTATTACACAAAACAAAAGACACATTTGCAAGCTAGTACCAACATAACCTTGATATCATAAACAAACATAACATATGATAGGTTTATTACATGAAAGGATATGCAAACTCACGCCTAAATGACATTGACATAAACAAACATAAAAGACACAACCCACCAAGTAAAAAAAGTTCAAAAGGAAAAGCCACATTCAAGAAGCTATCTAATTGTCCAAGCATGCATATTTGAGTCACACTAGTATCAACCCAAGCGTAGCTCCAAATCAACTTCTTCATTAGCACTAGCATTCATGGAAGTGCTTGCACCACTTGTCTGCATCTGGAACCCATATGTGATGGTGTTGGTGTTAGCTTCTCCGGATGGTGGTACCAAAAAGAAAGGAACTTGATTTGGTAAAACCGAGAATATTTGTTCTGGTTGATTAACAATCATTGGCATGGGATATGAGGCAGATGCACCTATGGTGTTCCAATTTCCAGTCATGAGGTTATTAGCAAAATGGATTGGGTTCCTTCTCCCGAAGCTGTATAAGTTTGTGGACTGTAGGTGTCTAAACAATCTAGCAACATATCTTTGAACTTGTTGGGGTGTCTTGTGCGACAGAAAGTTCTTAGTTATTTTGGTCCAGCATCCTCTTCCACTTCCATACTTGATTAGCCCCATAAAAAGTAACCTAAGATAAAAATGCAGAATATAATAATGTATCAATAAATTAAGGGAAAAAATAGCGATAAGACTTGATGGCCCATGAAAACTAAGTTTTTCCTTTCCCGTTATGCTTCCTATCTGAAATGTTGAAGAGCAATGGGACTTGAAAAGCAAGAAAAAAATAAACAAAATGATAGGATACTAATATAAAATCAATTAGAGTAAGGTTAAAGGACACAAACTTATGATCTCTTGGAGTCCAAGGATTCCTGAATCTAGCTCCACGAGGAAACAAGAACGCATTTGAATATGGTACTAGTTCAAGTACCATAGCAACTTGATCACAATGAATGTTGGGTTGGAGCCCGGTAACAATCTGAGAGGGTTCATAGATATGCCCTGAAGCTAGCCAAATAGTAGTTTGTTGGCTGATGGTGTGGCAGGTGTGGCACAAATTAGGATTTTTACAATCCCATAAGGGCATAGGAGCTTTCTCGAATTGGGTTTTCTCTGTAGAAACAAGACCTAAATTGAGGATTCTTGGTGTCTCTGATGATCTGGGTGATGAAGGAGGGGAATCAGTAAGATCAACAATTTCAATAGCCATTTCCAGGTAATGGTGTGGAGAGAAAGAGAAAGATAGAGATGGGGAGAAATTTGCTAGCGAAAAAAGGGAATATATTATGGATGCGTTACTCCAATTGTACTTGAAGTTAGTGTTGAAGGTTGTAATAGTCTGTGTCTATATTTATAAAACATGGAAGCTATACGTTTCATTTATTAAAATATCTATGAAAAATATTATTATTTAGGGACATAATCCTTTGACACTGATTTCAAACAAAAAATTTCACACCTTATTTAAAAGTCGTTGATCTTGCGTTGATCTAATGACTCTAATTTATAAGTATGTGATATCCATTGATCTGTCTTAATCTAATGATCTTCAAATGAGATGTCAAACTTTTTGTTTGACACCAATATCAAAGGATCCTGCTCCTATATATTATTTATGTTTTATTCAAATCACTTATACATCCCAAATAAAATTAATGTATTTAGACTTGCTATCCCTTTGTTTCAAAAGTTAATTATGAGATCCCTTTACGGGAAAAGTACTTCTTATGTGACTGCAGAAGGGAAAATTTGCAGCAACACAGGATACGCGTCCGAATCCTGTCTTCTTTTTTTTTGTTTTTTGTTTTTGATAGAATCCGCACGTGTATCCTAGGATCCGCACGTGTATCCTAGTGTTAAAAATTTGCTGCAACTTTTCTCATCAGCAGTCACATGAGAAGCGACGGACCCTCCCTTTATATATTATTACTCAAGCCTCCCTTATTAAGTATAAAGATGTAGTTTGATTTAACTTCTCTTTTAATTGCTTATTTTTTTCTTCTTAATTTTTGTTATAGAAGAGTCGCACAAGAGAACAAGATATTGGAAATTGAAATACACTAATAGGATTTGTGAATCTCACATCAAATAAGAAGAAAGTTTACATTTTTTTGAGATATTTCAATCGGTTCATAACTTAGCGACTAGTCTGATTCGGGACGGGTCCCAGGATTAAGGCTCTAAATCCCCTCCCAAAGATGGTACTGGAGAAGATTGAACATATACCTTTATCCCACATACTCAATTCCTTGACGCCAACTAAGCTACCATCATTTAGTAAAAGTTTACATATTTATATATTGGATTTTACAAGAGTTATGTTGTAGGAAAAATGATTGTGTAATATTATAGAGATTCGTTTTGCGTGCCATAGTTTTTTTTTGTTTCAAAAAGTGTGGACCCCACAAAATGTTGTGTGTGTAAGAAACTTTGTTGCATTATGTTAAATGATAAATGCAAACCCCTTATATATTAGCTCTTGTTTGCTTTTTCACTTCTAATTACACACATACCTAAGTCTGCAAACCAAATTATTGAAATTAAATTTGTATCTTTGTTTGCTGAAATTGGCATCAAAAGCAAAGAGGGGAAAGGGTAAAGAACATGGAATATAATAAAACACATATTTTGTTTAATTTATTTATGTTTAAAATAATTTATCAATGAAAGTTTATATTTAGAAAAAATTAATTTAATTTAAGTGTGCACAAAGAAATAATTTTTCTCTTATTAATTCTCAAAATTAAAGGATAATGAATATAATAAAGTAAAAGTGTTTTTGAATTATTTTACTGGAATGTCAAAATTTTATTTAATTATTTTTTTTTCAAATTGATTTTTTAAAGTTAATTATTTCTCTAAAAAAATTTAAACTAGCGCTAAGTATTTAAACTTTCAAAATTGTTTTTTTATCACTTTAATTTGGATAACCATATAAATAAGACCAAATACAATATGGGCTGGCCAATATGTATCGAGCTTAATTACACACGGTTGAGATGTAGATTGTTGTTCTTGGGCCTGGAGTTGAGGTTGGATTGCCTTTGTCCTTTGTAGTAGCGCGTGGGATTTGAATGAGGGTACCTGCGAAGACACTCTGATGCTTAAGTCAGTTTCAGAGGCAGGAGTTTTTATGTTATTATTGTAAATGATGATCATACCTTGGTGTTGTACCATTTGTTTATATAGTGGTTATGATGCCGCCTTAGCAAGGCGGCTTGGCCTCTGAGTGGCCAGGCTTGGGCTGCAGGTCAGTGCTAGGACTTGAGTAGCCTCATCTCCAGTCGTAGAGTCGCGGCAAGCTGGAGCTGTCTATCTTTTATTGGAATAAAGACGCGGTGGGATTTCCTTGGGCCTTAAGTTAGCTTCCTTAAGGGGGTTTTATCCGCGATATGGGCATCGCGTCTTGTCCAGCGCAATGAGTGCATCGCGTCTTATGCGCTATGTTTATTCATCGCGTTTGCTCTGGATACTTAATAGGTTTGAGCTTCTCCGTATGTCACTGGGTCTCTCATGGGCCTTTATTTTATCCGGATCAGATAACCATATAAATATATAGTAACTCACAAAGGAGGACTTTTTGACCATTTTGTCCCTTATTAATTAAAAAATAACTATTTTACCCTCATCCCAAAATTATACACTACTCTACCTCTTATTAATCGATTACATGATCATATAATCGATTAATTTATGACTAGAAATAAAGTATAGATATCTTTATTAATATAATCGATTAACTATCGATTACATAGAAAGGAAAACAAAAAATTCACGGGTTTATGCTAACCTGTATTTTTATTCCTGTTGATGGTGCTTGTTCCTTGGTGTGAAGCTTGTGTTTGTGAATTGTGACCCTTTGGAGGAGGCTCTTGGTGCTGGTTAGAAGAAGGTTCTAGGGGTGCCTTTTGGTTTGTTTTTTGGATGAGCACTAAAGGCTTGGAGTTCCGGTAGTTTGTTGCTGGTTCTTGGTTCGTTAATAGGTTTTATTCAACCTGTTGTGGTTGCTGTTCTGTATAATCAAAGGAATAGGTTTTCGTTCGGGCATAACTATATTCCAGGAAGGCAAAACAAAATAATTAAAAATTCAAACACCACAAAGGAAATAGGGTATGGTTATTGTACCGTGGGGGTACATAAGATGTGTCTGATGGAGGGTGAAGTATGTTAATCTAAGGGTACTCATAATGACAATGGTAGAGACCAAAACACTATGGTAGAGACCAAAGCACTGTAGAGGCTTCCCATGTATTCTGCCTCAAGGGGGTATGTGTGTGTGTATGGGTGGCTAAGGATGGAGAAGAAGATACGCTCCTCCATGTGTGAGGGGATATTTAGAGAAGGAAAGTGGAGAGCTGTAGTCAACTTAACTAGCCTAGCCTTTTTAGGCTAGGCATGCTGAACCTTTACTAGTGTGCAGGGGTAGCAGTGCTTGGGGAAGAAGGGTAATGTCCTAATGGTGAGCCTCTATGGCTCACCATGGGTGCCCTCTAGAAGGTTCTTAATTGTGAGCTTAGTGATATGGGCCCAATCTTGCTAGGCCTAAGTGGGTATCCACAACAGAAGCCCCCCAGCTTGGTAGCCTGCGGAGTCGAGGTGCGAAGATATATGGCAGCTTAGGTCGATTTCCCGTATTATGCAGTGTTCCAAGTAGGATACATTGTAACCGATTGATATTACGTCAGCCTTCACGAGTTGTTTATTTGCTATCTTTAAGTGTGGATTGTCTGGTCGGTGATGCTTGAGTGCTTCAAGAGACTCTTCTATTCTGGCTTGCAATTGTGTTGAATTTTGTTGTCTTCAAATATGCGCCTTGTTGTCGAGGAAGGTCTTCAAATGTTGTTGAAGCAACAATAACCCATACGAAAACCTATTCCTTTAATTATACATTACAACAACCAAAACAAGTTGAATAAAACTTGCTAAGGAACCAATAACCGGCAATAAACTACCGGAACTCCAAGCTTTCAGTGCTCGTCCAAAAAACCAACCAAGAGACACCCTCAGAATATTCTTCGAATCAGCACCAAGAGTCTCCTCCAAAAGGGTCACAATTCACAAACACAAGCTTCACACCAAGGAACAAGAACCGTGAACAGGAATAAAAAAATAGGGTAGCATAAACCTGTGAATTTTTTGTTTTTCTTTCTATGTAATCGATTACAAATCGATATTTAAGCGATTATAACAATGAAGATATCTATATTTTATTTTTGGGAGCAAATTAATTGATAAAATAATCATATAATCGATTAATAAGGTGCAGATTAGTGTAGATGTGGGCAAAATAATTATTTTTTAATTAATAAGAGGCAAAAAAGTCAAATTATTTAATTAATAAGGGACAAATTAGTGTATAATGTTGGGATGAGGGAAAAATTATTTAATTTATTTATGTTTAAAATAATTTATCAATGAAAGTTTATATTCAGAATTTGTAAATAAAAAATTAATTTAATTTAAGTATGTACAAAGAAATAATTTTTCTCTTATTAATTCTCAAAATTAAAGGATAGTGAATATAATACATTAAAAGTGTGTTTGAATTATTTTACTTCAATGTCAAAAATTTATTTAATTATTTTTTAAATTGAATTTTTTAAATTAATTATTTCTCTAAAAAAATTTAAACTAATTAAACTTTCAAAATTATTTTTTTATCGCTTTAATTTGGATAACCATATAAATCTATAGTAACTCACGATTTAAGTTGTAATAAAATTAGAATTTAGTTCACACCAAAAAAAAAAATTAGAATTTAGTAATTGAGGAATCTTTATCATGTTACAGCATTCAAATCATAGAAAATACAATTATAAAAAATGAACTACGATAAAGCAAATTAGAAAAAATAATAATTTTGTACTCTAACTCTAAGAGAATGTAAATTGAATAGATAACTAATTAAGTAATTTTAGTGCAAAGAAAAGGCATTGATTTATGTTTTCTTTATAGTATATTTTTTCAAGATAAACACAATACAATCATTTTTAGATAACAAGATGAACTCATTACTTTAAACCTTAAAATAGTTATTAAAACTGAAATTTATGTCATCTATTTAAACTGAGCAAGCATCTTTTCTTTGTCTTTTTTCTTTGTTTCAATAATAAAATGATAATGTTTTCTAGTTGTTTGTGTTTAATTTTTTTTAACATTTTGCTTAATAAATCAGATTTTCAACAACTTGGACATTGCGTAGATTTGAGG